ATGTACATTACTCTATATTAAGAATGTAAATTAATATGATCATAAATTTATATCGAATTTAAAACTTGATTAATATTTTATAAATATTTATCGAAAATTAATATTATCATAAAAACTTCAATAATTTAAAACTTGATCAACGTTTTATAAATATTTATCGAAAATTAGTAAACACCAATAACTCGCAATTAAATATATATTACACCCTACTAAAATCACAAATTAATATTAAGATTAATAAATTCTCTAAAAGCCGGTCAATATCGATCCGTTTAAATAAATAATATTTCCCCAAAGACGAACATAACCTACAAAAGCACCGAACGCAGCCTTGCAAACGCGTTAATTCGATTCTACAAAAATCGTATTTAAATTAAATAATTTAAAATAATTAATAACCGAACTTATTAACGAACTAATTAATTTAAAATAATTAATTTAAATACGATTTTTGTAAAATCAAATTAACACATTTGCAGGCTGCGTTTCGTTCGTTTATTAATTGATGCGAATCCGAAAATCCGTCGAACGATAAATTCAAATCCAAAACACCCCTAAACAACGTTTCAACTACGATGCATGATTGCCCGACAGGAATACGCCGCGATGCGATCTCGAGGAGGCGCGTCGGACAAACGCGCGTCGATCTCGCGAAGACGGTCGCCGCAAGAATCCACAGAGGTTACAGGCTACAAGTGGCTGCTCACGGTTATCCCGTCGATGTTAATCGAAGCGCACCGGCTTCCTTGGCCGTCCCCGAGGCGATGTCTCCGTCCGAAGCGCCGAGCGGATCATGCTTCATCGGCTCAGAAAAATCTTGCCGCGGCCGGGAGAACGGCGTGGAGCGGAACGGAGCGGAGCGGAGAAGGCACGCGGAAGGTGCCCCGGATAAAAAAAGGAAAAGAAGAGTGTCGTAGGGGAGAGGGTGCAGCGGGTGCGCGCGTAAAGGCGGTGAAAAAGGTAAACGAAAGACGGAACGGTGAAGAGGGACGAAGGTAAGCCGCCGCGGGTTGAGCTCTCTCGCGCGCACCTCGGCCTTTCACCTGGCTCGCCTTTTTCCCCCCGCGTGCGCGCAAAACGAAGACGAGCCGAAAAGGGACACCCCTTTGAAAAATTATCCTCTCAAGCGGAAGCTCGCGTAATACGCGCGTCACGCTGCTGCCGCCGCCGCTGCAGCTTTCGTTCGCCTTTGTTTTCCAAGTGTGGCGGCCGCGACGCGCGTTCTATCGTCGCCCGCGCGCGCGACCGCCACGCGGACTTCGCGTCGCGAGCGCGGAAAATGCTCCGCACCTTTTGTTTTCCCACCCCGCGGCAACGCTCGCCCCCCACCCCGCGAGGCTTTCCTTTGCCGCGGAGGAAAAAGACCGAGAAACGCGCCGCGTATTAACGCGGAAACGGAAATCCCTGTGTGGCTGTCGATGTTTCCGCGTTACTTTTTG